ATCAACAGAGTAAAAAATGTCATCGACAGAGCGAAAGAAATCTACCACAACAGTCCCAACAAGATAACAGACAAAGTGCGGGGGGGGGGGGCGACATTTGAAGAGGGCTGTGTCCACACTGGTCCACACCCTCCCTCTCTCGACTCGTCCCCACAGCCTGCCCACACCCGTCCACCCCCCGGGGTAGGTGCGCACGCCCTTCAACGCCGGGGCGTGGCGGCAGAGGCACGGGCAGGTGTACGCGCGCGGCGCGCCCGTCACCTTCCAGGTGCCCGGCTTGCCTCGCGGCGCGCCTGCCGGCCTCTCCAGGCGCGCGCGCGCACACACACACACACACACACCGCTCACCCACGCGCACCGGGCCTTGCACTTTGAATGCCGTGGGGCTCCTGTCGTTAGACGTGGAGACGCGAGGGTTGCCCCCCCTTGCCCCACCACCTCGTGTGTGTGGAGAAGTTTACCTTACCTTACCTTACCTGCCTCTCAAGGCGCCATCAGGGCGGCTGCCGCGGCGCGGCAGGCGCGCAGATCCACGATGCAGGAGGTGAGAGCTCGGAGCCCACCTCGGCCACTCTCGTAAAGGCGGCGGTGAGCTGTAGGCGGCGCCGGCAAGTTCAGCGAGGTGTGGGGGGTACGGGCCGAGGCAAACTGCCGCCGCGAGTCCCATACCTCCAGAGTCTCGAATCCAGCGTGGGTTCAGGCCCTTGGGTGGTGTGGTAGGCCGAGTGCCGCCGCGAGTGCCTACGGAGAGCGGATTGCCTCGCGTACGAGTTTGCCGCCATCAAGGCCCACCTTTCCCCGCCCCCACGGTACCCTCCCCGCCGCCACGGGACCCTCCCCTATCCCATGGTATACCCGAACCCAGCGAACCGGTTAGCACTCCTACCAGCCAGGCGGACTGATCACTCATTAGTTCATCGATTATTCACGTCCCTAAAGCCCACCTCGTCTCCAAGTCTGACCGCGCCATTTATTCATTCATGTAGGCCTACACCCGCTGCGTGCTCCACACGTCCCTAAAGCCCACCTCGTCTCCAAGCTTGACCGCGCCATTTATTCATTCATGTAGGCCTACACCCGCTGCGTGCTGCACAAGACGCCCGTCACACACACGCTGCCGATGGCGGGCTACTCCTGCTACGCAAAGGTACGCTTCCTAGAGACACTTCCTAGACACGTCCTAGACACGTCCTAGACACTTCCTAGACACCTCCTCCCGATGGCGGGCTAGTCGTGATACGCAAAGGTCGGCGGCTCGCACACACACACACGCCCCCCGCGCGCACCCACGCGCCGGGGGCCTTGCACTTTGAATGCCGTGCGGCTCCTCTGTCTTTTAGACGCGGAGTCGCGAGGGCTGCCCTGGCCCTTGCCCCCCCCCCCACCACCCTCGTGTGTGTGGAGAAGTGTACCTGATCGGTCACCTTAGGTCGGTGGAGGGTACAGCCACATCGACGCCCCCGCCGCCACGGCCTCCGCCGCCGCCACTGCGCAGGGGGCGAGCGCCGCCCTGGCCGCTTTGGCCCCTCAGCCCGCCCCATCGCAGGGGGCGGGGGCGCTGCAGCCGCTGACAGCGGCGTTACCGGCGTCCGCCCCGCTGGCGCAGCCGCAGCCGGCGCAGCCGACGCCGTCCTAGTAGCGGTAGACACCCCTGTGGAATTCCATCATTGGGCCTTTCATTGGTTGGTAGCCGACCACGCTCTCCTCCACTCTGCTGCCCTCGGCGGCGGCGGGAGGAGGAGCTCCCGCTCTCGCGCCAGCGCCCGGAGTGGCGGCGGCGGCGGCGAATCATTTGGCTGCGGCTCGGGCGGCCGCGACGGCGGCACAGTTGGCCGCGGCACGGGCGGCCCAGGCGGCGGCGGCTGCAGCAGCAGCAGCAGTAGTAGTAGTAGTAGTAGTAGTAGAAGAAGTAGTAGTAGTAGCTGCAACAGCAGCAGTAGTAGCAGCAGCAGTAGTAGCAGCAGCAGTAGTAGTAGCAGCAGTAGCAGTAGTAGTAGTAGTAGTAGTAGTAGTAGTAGTAGCAGCAGCAGCAGTAGCAGTAGTAGCAGTAGCAGTAGTAGGCAGCCTTGCTTCCAAGGTCGCCCTCCCCCCGTACCCACGCCCACGCGACCAGGGACAAGAGACTTCCTAGACACTTCCTAGACACTTCCTCAGGGACAAGAGACTTCCTAGACACTTCCTAGACACGTCCTCAGGGACAAGAGACTTCCTAGACACTTCCTAGACACGTCCTCAGGGACAAGAGACTGACTCGAGACAGCCGGACACCCCCTTGCTGGCTGCTGCTGCTCTGCGTTGTGGCTCGCGCTGGTGGAAGGAGTGCCGAGTCCTTTTGAGCCAAGGGCTGCCAACCGGTTTGCCCGCTGCTACTGCAGGCTGCGGTGGCTGGTGCGGCGGCGGGCTCGGCGACGGCGTGGGCGGCGAATCCGGCGCAGCCGACAGCGCAGCCTGCTGCGGTCGCGCCGCAGGCCTCCCCCTTCTCCCCATCATCTCTCCCAGTCTCTCCCTATCTCTCCCCATCCCTCTCCCCATCTCTCCCTATCTCTCCCCATCTCTCTCCCCCTCTCTCCCCCTCTCTCCCCCTCTCTCCCCACCTCTCCCCACCTCTCCCCATGTCTCCCCACCTCTCTCCCACTCTCTCCTCATCTCTCCCCCTCTCCCCATCTCTCCCCGTATCTCCCGCCATATCTCCCCCCATCTCTCCCAATACTCTCCCTT